CCCCAAAACCCCAAAACCCCAAAACCCCAAGATAAATATTTCAATTGAATGTGGCATCTTAATATTTAATAACTCTAACACTGGTCTTATCAAATCCAAATTCTGACAGAATATTTCAATAAGGTCTTCTTGGAACAGATTGGGAGACTAAAATTGTTTTTAGGGACTTCTTAAAATCTTGAGATTTTGATAGCCCTTTTACTAAATTGGAGAAGCCAGATAAACGGATCCCTTGCTGTCCATATATTCTTCACGATAAGAATGATATCGAACTAATTGTACTTCCATCCAGGGAATGCCCAAAGTCTGGTACTTTTTCGACATAAAAATAGCATTCCTTAAAAATGACTTGCTCCTTGTTCCGGCATGCTGAGAAGAGCCTTACCAATGCTTTCTGGCTAATATCTATTCAACAAATGGCAATTTTAGATTGTACCTTATAGCTAGCATGCAGGATCTCTTTGAGGTACTTGTCCATGTTGATAGTACTTGTTCTAAGAGACCATAGAGTCAGTTCTTCAACTCTTCTTGGGAACGAATTCTTCAGAAAACGTTTAAGAGCCGGAGGTTTTCTCGGGTTTAAATTTTCGATTTCCAACGCTCTTAGGCTGGGGAGTACCAGAGAGTCCAAGCTTTTCAGCATCTTAAAGTGTTGATCAAAATTAAAATCTAGAGGCTCAAAGCAAAGCATCCTCTTTTTATTAGATTTCTATGAAGAGTTTTGAACTCGATCGAGGATAACACTTGTCTGTCTATATCTTCAGACTCTTGGTGGATATTCTCCTCATATCTGATTCTATCTTCTCTATTGGCTATATCTTTGTTATCATGAAAATTGATTTTCTAAAATTTGAAATAAGAGTTGATGGTTTTTTCTCAAGAATAAAATGTAAGAGTGACCATAGATATTTAGAGCTCATTATTAGGTCAGGTAGGATTGGGTGAACTATTTTAGACGGGGAGTTCATGGAAGTGATTATTTTTGGAAAAGATCATTACCTGATTCATCCACAAGGATGGATTTTTGCTCTTCGGGTTTCTCCAGTAATTCCTGAGCTTGTTTCAGTAAGTGCTCAAGTTCTTTTTCGAGGTAATCATATTGCTTCTTGCAATTGATATAGGGATTAATAGCAGAGAAATTAGGCTTATGATTGGATATTTCATTAATCTTATTTGATTTTTCAACTGAACTAAAAAGCATTTTTATTCCTCAACTTCTTAGGATCTGACTTCTCTAGCTGGGATTTAAGAGAAGCAATGCTACTAGAGATTTGGAAGAACCTTGTTTTGAAACTACTGTTCTGAGGTTTTGAATAACTATCCACTGCAATTCTTTGACATCTAATCTTATTCTCAAGCGCATGATACTCAGTTGTTAAACTATATACCTTTAACAGTAACCTTACTCTTTGACCTCGTATCTCCGAAAGCTATTCTTGTCCTCTAGTACCACCTCATCAGCCTCTGAACTCTTGGCTGTACAGTAACAACACCCCATGTTTGCAATATATTATAAATTAAATAATTATTTTTCCATTATAAGCCAAAGACTTGGGGTTTTGGGGTTTTGGGGTTTTGGGG